AAAACCGGCGCACGAAAGTGCATGGTTAATAGTTGTAGAAACTGAACTGAACTCAGCACCATACAGGGAATACTCAACCTTCCATGGACAATACGATTCCGCAGATACGCTATAAACGTTTCTAGTCTCCTAACGACAACGGAGTATGATGACGTGCTCATTGGTTTTCTCTTGTTTGATCTTGACAGTTTCCACCAACTTCCTGACTGTTTAAACCAAATTTTTATTTGTTTGTATCCCGATCTCTGATGCCGATAAATGTTTGGATTTTAACCTTTAAACAGACACTCATTGTCAGACTCATCTTAGTAACCGGCCTGGATTTGCTGTTAGCAACATTATCATTCCCAAAGCTGTCACATATTTTTGAGCTACTTTGTCACAACGTTTATTGAAGAACATGTACATTAAGATGCGTACATTATCCTTCTGCGCGTTCAGATTTGGAAAGCTCACCGTTCCCCTAAATGTGATTCTTAAATTTGTGATAGCCTTCATTCTTCCACTGGTTGTGCTGTCCCCAGTTTTTTTTCCCGGTCTAAAACAGAAGAACTTAATTCTCTTTTCCTTATCTCAAACCTCTCCCGTTACGGTAGCGTTCCCAAGACCATTTTGGTTGATTTCATTTTGATTTATGTGATAGATTTACCAGCACTACACTGTCAAATGAAGTGCATGTCCATCTCCATGAATGTGTGTTTCATCCGTGTACGCGTTCCAAATTTAGGCTTCTTCATTCACGTATCACAACTAGCATCATCTCTTATCTTATCCATATCATTGTAAATCGAAAACTACACCGACTGAGAAAATCTCAACCTTATTTTTATTGCATCCATTTTTTTCATTTATTTAACTTTTCATGTGCACGTTTTTTTCACTGCAAGTTGTCGAAACCCTACACGATTTTATCGCCATGATAAATGCAACAATTTTCGATTTGTTTGGTGGATCTGTAATTTCGTCCCTTGATGCATTCAGTGTAGACGAACGTTTTCGAAACACACTATTTCACTTCAGGTCCAAACCTTATCATCGTACTTTACTCTGTGTCAAAAATTAGGCGTATAGTACTCGCGGTGTTGCCGGCATCATGATTGCACTATACGTCAGTGCTGAACCTTCGCTACCGGTGCATCCCAGTCAGTAGTCAATAATGTCTCATACGAATCAGTGGTTCAGTGCGCAGCATCAATAGTAGAATGAACCGCTTCTGTTCATTCTTGACATACGTGTGTGCACCGACAGTTCGTTTGAATTGAACCACACGGAAACGTTCTGACCCGCACTTGGAAGATGGAAGACACACTATCTACTGTCTTTTTTCAGTTCTTCGTACTTAGTCTCCACATCATCTGCTGCTCTTTACGTTATTTCCTCCACCATGATATGACCACTGTAAACAAGACTCGATGCGGTAGATCACTTTTGGACATGTACAGGGCATGTGGACGCTTTCTTTTCTCTTCCCTAGAAATAGGCCCAGTCCTTATCCTCCTTACACATTTTCACTTATCTTGTATACATTATGAGTCTGGCAGCGATCCGTGACGTTCTCTTCACTGGATTACGCTATACGATGATGATAGACAAGTATATTCCGTGTAACGCTTTACTACCTCGTTTGTTAAATGTCATTGGTGGACGGTTTAAAGGCGTACACAAAGTATGAGTTGAGTGACTACTAATCACAGAGTCCAGTGGCGTACGGACCGTGAACAATTGTTTTGGTTCCATTCTTGCAGTCATGGCGTTTAAGGTTCAGTGATATTTGGCTTTGAATACAGCCATCTTCGAGGTATTTTATTTACCCCATGAACATCCATTGTTGGTTTTGTTTAATTCGTTTAACTTCTTGTTTCGGTCAGCTGTTAATCATCAAGCTCGAACGTTGCGACTTTGGTCACAATCCCTCATGTCCTAATTCACTTGGTTTTCGGTCTACACACTTTTACGGCTTGCAGTCATGTGGATTAGGCTTGACTACTGTTCGGAAGTAATGCAATTAGTACCATTCAGTGGTGGATTGTAACAGCATTTTTGTATGTAATCATTCACTAATGCGGTCGCAACCGGTGCTTTTCTAATTTTTCCTTCTCTTTCAGATTTAACGCGATCCTGTGGCTATGAGGATTTGATGGTTGACGAGTGCAGCCCGAATACAGTCATTTGTCTCTGGAATGCGGGAGAATGCACAGTTGGTTTGCGCTTTCATTGCATCGGTACTGAGTTCACTGAGCGCAAACACGGGGGTGAAAAGGGTGTATCGTTTCGTCTTCAGGTACGCTTTTCATCAGTGGAATGTGCTACATTTTGGAAAAGAGTTAAACTTACTTCATGCTCTGTTAAACTTGTCAAAAATATTCTGTAGACGTATTTGAGTCGTTCACAGAACTACAATAAGGTCTACTGGCCACGCCCATCGCTTAGTATAGTATCACAGGATCTCCACTTCTGGGTAAAGCTCAGCTATTATTAAAAAGGGAGTATGATGGAGAATGTGAAATGATGTTGCAGCAAAAGTATTATATTTCCTGGGGTTCAATACAAATAAAAAAGTTGGTGTTGCTTGGAGCGGTAAAATTGCGGAACTTTTCATTGATAATAGACGGCCATTATCGTTTAGTGAACTTTTTTGCCTTCGTTAGTGTCGCGACTCACACATAACAGTAATGACTGAACAGTCACAGATCAGGAATGGAACAATGATGATAACCTGTTACACGTGCCGAACCATCCAGTGATGCCTAGCGCAATCCCAGGAAAATCGAAATACCTCGCGTAATTGCAATCCCGAAACCCAGCCAAAAGAAAGAAGGTAGACATTCAAGTGAAGTTGTGTATTTGGCTCGATCCAAAGGCGGTTGTCGTGAACAGGTTATCTGTTTATAAACATTTTTGCGGACGGCGTTCGGGTAGCTTGGAGATTAGCTTTAAAGTCCAAGGTTCCGTGACAATAAACCAGTCAAGGGCAAACAACCGAGAGTGTGAAGTAAGGCTTTTTTAGTGCATAAATTTGAAAATTCAAATTTTACAAAATAAGTGAAAAAATTAGCACAAAGAAGAGAAACATAGACAATTCTGAACGAGAAGCACGGGCTTTTCTATAGCGGTTAGTTTATCTTTCAGGTAATATATTCTCGCATTTCTGTTCAGCCTTCGGGCCAGACTGTCTCTATTGAGTTGAGAGCTGTGCTATATTTGAAATATACCGACTTTAAGACCGTGCACATAAGCCGGTTTCTGGTCAGATATGAGTTGCAATCTGATGTCATTGACTCTTGAAGACTATTGGCCACCGTCGACGGCGTTCTAGTATGCTGTCGTATGCACTGAAATCTTGAACGTCGTGCAGAGTAGTGAGTTCGCTTTGGCTGTTAGTCGAAAATGCGTCCCATACATGACGACGCATTAGGCCTTGATCGGTTCCATCATTTGGTCGTCTGGTGTAAACTGCACACCATTTGATAAATTGCTTCGATTCATGCTTACTAAACATCAGATAGTACCCTCCAAGTAGTCGACCTCCATAGATTACGCTGGTTGGGATATGTGCTGCGCATGCCACCAGATAGGTTGCCACGGTGCGCGATGTTTGCCGAGGCAGACAGTGGGTGGAAAAATCCAAGATGAGAGCATGAAAACCCCATTCAGGAAAATGGGTCGTATAGGTCGCGCTAGGCTCCCTGAATGGGAACCCTGAGATCATGGTCACCGGCAGTTAGAGACACTGAGCGATGTGGCTGGGGGTCGCAAACAGTGGCGCTCATGCATCTACACAAAACTCTTACAACCCTAATCTATATGAATTCTCTATCTTCCTCTTGAATTTGATCTAAACATCCCCATCTTCCTTCTACTCTTTGACCCAAATGGGCGACCAAAAGAGAGAAACCAAAACCGGCGCATGAAAGTGCATGGTTAATGGTTGTAAAAACTGAACTGAACTGAAGGCTCCAACGGTCCCTTTGCAACGAGCAGGTTAGTCTCTATTTTTAGTAACGATTTCGTGAATGGGTGATCAGATCAATGCAATGGTCCTGGTAAGACGGCAGTCCGGTGGCATCCTCCCGAAGCCAACCCATTTTCACGTGATTCGGCCCTTTGGCGAACTCACGCATCCGGGGTTAGATGTTAATCTACCATTCCGGAACCAGTCATCTTTCACCAGTTTGATGTTCCTGAATCTGTCAGTATTAGTGCATCGTTTCGGACACCGAGGCTTTAGTGTCTACTCTTGTGGTCTCTTGGTCGAAGGAGCTGTTGCTCACTACATTCCATATCACCTGGAGTATCATCTTGGAATGCACACGACGTCATTATGCTCTGCGACGCCTACCTAGACGCTCAAAACGTCTTGTGTAAGTTGGCGTTGTCCGTCACGCAGTTTGGAATGTTCTTTTCTCCACAGAAATGTGCGGTATTACTACAAAACTGGCAAGAGGCTACACCTATCCTTATACTCATGAGCGAACAGTCGATCACCTTACCTATCTTGAGAGTTGTTTCAGCTCGAGACAACTGACAAAGGAAATATCAGCGCGTATTCGCAATGCCCGGGTAACTTTCGCTGGACTACTTCACTTGTGGCGTCGACGCGATCTCAATCTTTACTTGAAAGGTAGAGGCAACTATGCCACGATGAGCGCAGTTTTAATCTACGGCTGCTAGAGCTGGTCTCTTCAAACAGAAGATATACGGAGACTGTCTTTGACCACCGTTGCCTTCGTTGCATCGCCAGAATACCTTGGCATCAGCGAATCACCAACGATGAGGTTCACCGAAGAATCTTCGCCTTAGACAATCTTAGTTGTCTTCTGAGTGCCACCGTCTTGCTCCAACGACTTCAATGACTGAGACGTGTGTTGCGGATGCCAATTCGCTGACTGCCCCATCGTGTTATGTTTGGACGAACCGACAATAACTGGGAGCGACGACGAATAGCGTGGGTTCAAGGGATGTAGGCATTAACGTAAAAGTTGAGTGTTTTAAGGCGCTCCAGATTGATGTCTCAAGGACAGCGAACATCTTGAGGCACTTACTGACATGACTCGAAATCGGCTTCACTGGTGCACCTGTTGTAAAACTCCTATTCGTTGATCTTTTAAGTATACTTGTGTGAAGAACAGCAGACAGGATGGACCCCATAGTCAAGAAAACCTGCTGTTCAGTAACGGAAACCGGTAATCTAAGGTCGGAGTGGGGAATTATGCTCGGTCAGGCGCAGTGTTGCACCGGACTACAGCAAAGCTGCCTACCATAAAATTTGGTGGTGTTGGGGATCGGTTTGTATTCAACTCTTTCCTTCATTTCTTAATCCATATGTCCATAGGTTGTATATACGATTGTTGTGTTTCTGTCGTTTACGAACTCTACCACATGGGTTAAACGATCATGCAATTGTCGTTTATTGGTAGATCTCTTCTTCTGATCTGTTGCGTAGCTCTACTTTGACTTGAACTTTAAACGTATTCATCAAAGGCTATACCATATCACGGTGTATAACGCAGCTGATTTGAGGAACAGCCGAACACGGGTTTAGAGCACAGCTTTACCGAATGATATGGAGTCACATGACAGTGATTACTTGGTTAAGGGGATATAAGTTCTACCAGTAGAAATGTGGTAGCGAGTTCGCGTGTGATATGCACTATCATGCATGTATGTGTTGTATGCGTGTGTATGCGTGGCGAAGTGCGCAAGTGCATGTACGCATGGGATGTCGGAAGGAGAGGACGACGATGGTCCGTAGCGGGCTGGGTGGGCGTGGTCTAGTTAACGGAAAGGCGATCGATATCAAGTGACCTGTCCGAAAGCGTCCCAGGGCACAGCTGTCATTGCATTCCTTTATTTTCCCCCCTAATTAAAGGTGTGTTGAATTTCGGACGCGCCACTGCCACTGTTCAATAGCAACTTCTTCATTTACATTAAAACCCAGGTTCATTTTTTGCTGCTCTGTTCCACATTTTGTATCATTTTCTTTTTTTACTGAAAGCAGAACAACAGAAGTTTCGCATGCTGTCAAAAAGCCTACTACTGTACTATTACGTTGCATCTACCCATATGTGAGGATACTGTGAAAACCCAAGGTTTGTAAAACTTTTGCCTCGAGGTATATTGATGATGATCAGCGGCACTGTCTGAGAACATGGCAGCTTTTGTCAAGGAAATAATCTTTCCGCAATGAAAAGTTAGAAATACCCGTTAAGGCTGTCTTGACGTCTGCGACTTTGCTGAGTCACTAAGGCCATCGTCATTAGCATAGTGCCCAGCAGGGCTGCAAATACCTGGTGATACTAGGGTGCCACACTTGTATCTTCAGGAATCTTCATGGATGAATGCATGATGATGAGTTATCTTCACCTAGGAGAAAGTTACCTAAACGTTCTAGGAAGATTAGTCCCACAATAAAGCCGCAATCTATTGTGGCCCGGTGCCCAGTTAATCGGATAGGGGTCAGATGTCCGAGGTGCCACATGGATACACAATAGAGCCGGTGACCACTGCCCAAACCTGTAAGGTGTGGTTCTACACCTCATTTTGGTTGGTTTAGAACCAGGTCTTTTAACCAACTGCTCTATGTGAACTACCGGTTTTTGACCGGCTCGGTCATAGCGCCGAATGTTGTCTGTGCGTTATCTCACTCTGGTGGGGAAATGTACAATCAACACTGAAGAGGGTACTTGCGACCGATAAAGTCTACTATAGAAAAATGGGAAAGTAGTTTGGCGCGATGGTCTATACCAATCGGTCACCGCTACTCCATGATGATGTTTTCATGTTTGGGACCACGTAAGCATGAGGCTGGTGTCCGATTAACTGGCTACTTCTTATATTCACAGGTGGAATATTTTAATGCCGAAACCAATTGTCCTTTGGAAACATGCGCTTGTCAAGTAAAAGTATTTCGTATGAAGGGTGCTGATCGGAAACATCGAACTGATCGCGAAAAGTTGGAACGCAAATCTCGAGAAGGACGCGTAAGTTTGTCTCTTTGGTGTCCTTGTTTTTCACAATTTCAATTTTATTTTGCTCCCAATTGCTTAAGCGTGAGCATGTCTGTGCGTTGTGATCTGCGGTGAGATTTGCACCTCGTGTAATCCAGTTGTCTATCCGGCTGATCAATTAATCGTCTTTAATTTCCAGTCTGCTCCTCAAGGATCTCATCTATGCCCGCTTACTGCATCTGTGGAATAGTTGAAAAATTTGGTTTCCCATGTGTCTGTGTTATTTATATCAATGACTTTTTGCCATTTCTTTTATACATTTTTATATATTTTCCGAGTGTACTGACAATGCCGTTTTGTGGGAAACCACATCTCTCGTTTCTAATTTAAGTTCTAGGAACTGATACAAGGTTTCAGATAGTATTTTTCCATACAATCGCTAGCTGATACAGATGCACAGACACAGTGTATTGTTTTTCACGGCTCATCACTTAACCTATTATTTGAATACCACATCATTATGAATTTCTTTTACATCCCATTCAATCAATTTCTATGGTTTTTGTCCTTCCCTTCGTTTCAGTCCGTCTACAAACCGTCCACTCCTGTAACCAAACTACTTCCTTTCCCCACCCGAAATGTCAAATCACAATCACCNCCAGCCACAACTTCGATGCTTACGTCGACCTCGCCTACGACTGCCTGTGTCTGCTCATCATCTGGTAATGCAGACGTTTTTGGCCAACTCTCTCACATTGATCCGAGCATACCAAATCCGACCGCAGCGATCACAGTCACATCGAACAATGCTGGGTCTTCCGAAATTCAATCACGCAGTGCGAAGTTAGTAGCCATTCGTTTTTCCTATACTCGCAACAGTTAGGTCGAGTGAGAACCTTTGAACCAGTAGCGTTTTCTTCCCTAGTGCAGCTGACTGCGTTCCTTATTGAGTTGTACACTCCCCGAAAAGACGCCTTAATGGTTTAATTTTTCTGCGCAGATCGCAAATTTGGTGTCATTCTGGTTGTGCGAGTTTCCAGTGCGGGGGTAAAGGTCGATATACATAACAGTTGCCTCTAAATTTTGACCTGATAGGGAATTTGAAGCGGATCCGACAGATTCAATATCCATTTCCGATAACATTCAACGTTCTGAACTGGGTTGGAGTCGACTACAAACTAAGCTGCTGTTTCGAAACCAGTTGGGTACCGTTTATTTGTTATGGAGAACATTATGCTGTTTGATTTATGTTCAGGACATCGTTTGTCTGTTCCAATGTAAGTGGGATGTCCAAACCGTGCTTGACAGACTGACCTGTTCTGTTGCGTAAATTCATGTGCAATTTACGCCTTCAGAGTGCAACGTTTTTACGGGACTTTTTCAACACAGCTTTAAAACTAGATAATCAGGAAAAGGGTCATGGCTGATTGCTTTTCACCTGTCGGTATTAGTGGGATGATTGATGGTAACAACCAACGAAATGATCGTTGGACTGGCTCACAGTAGCTGGACCAAAACATAGCGTCAGGGTGATATTTGACTTCGGTCNTATACTGTGCTACAATAAGGTCATTTTCATTGTTTGCTGAATCTGTATTTCACATATGGAGAATATCCGTCGACTGAAGGCCTTTAACCGTCGATTTAGGCGTAGTTTGATATAGGTAGGGTTCCGGTAAACCGTCGGGTATAAGGAGGTGACTCAGTGAAGGCGAAGTTTTCACGAGTTCAAATGAGTGACTTCACCTGTTTGTACATATTCTACATACTTACTAGTCTTCTGTCACACTGCCTTTTGTTTGCAGTTACCATTCTTGGATGAAGGAAACCATATGAAGGTCAACAGCTAACTAGCCGTGACGAAAGTGCATCACTGAAAGAGGGCAACGTTGGAGAGGTCGCTCTGTTCTGATTATAATAACCTTTCAGACAATTCTGCTTTCACTTGACCGAGGTTCACACTTTGACTATTAGCGACTCAACACTCCGTATCTGTGTTCCTATATTACGCCTATGTTTATGATCATTGTAACTATGGTATACACATAAGAACGTTTGTTGTTTGCTTGGTTTCTTCTAGAATTTTGGTGTAATCTGGTTTTTGCTCGATTGGTAAATGCACTGTCTTCTTTGAGTTAGATGCATGATCAATATTTCATTCATGTTTTAGAGCTGCCTATTCACCACCAGCCTACCACTACACGACGAATACTCACCCGGGGTCTTCGCAAGCGCTAGGTGTTTTGATCCGAACCACGGGTGGTACAGAGTTCACTCCACCAAACCAACCGCTCACCTATCGAACGCGTCGCTCCTCCCCGGGACCACATCTATCGCCATCACCCAGCCGTCATCTGTCCGGTACAAGCTCAGTTTCAGCCATGCATCGTCGACGACGTCAAAGAGGTCTAGATCCATGCATGGGTAGTTGTTCGGCCTGCGGTCGCAGTTGTCGCAATGCGAACAGCCGTTGGGGAAAAGCAAACAAGACACGACCGTGCTGTCCGCATTGGGAAACAAATGGTCCTCGTGGGAAACAACCGTTTTGGTTGTCCGAGAAACGTCGTGCTTCATACAGCTATGAACGCTCTTCTGCGGTTTCCATACCGATTCGAGTGAGTCTTACCGCCTCTGGAGTTCCATTCCAAGTGTGATCTATATAGTACCTGCCGTATTTCGGTTGCCCACTGTGATTACAGTCTCGTCTTTTGCATGGTTCTGTTCAGTTCAACCCATACTACCCACTGCTTTTTCCTTCAACTACCGTGTTCTGGTTACTGTCCCACGGCCAATCGAATCACAACGCACTATTAAGTAAACGGTGATAGTGAAAAATCGTACATATGGATGAACTCTGCGGATGTTAGGTTCACATTTTATTGTCGGGGCTCTCGTCACTATGAATATGTTTGGTGAGTCTTTCAAATTCGATCGTGCCAATACTACCAACACATATTTTTGCGATTTTACAGTGGAAAACTGCGTTATCTTCTCTAGATACTTTATTGTATCAATTTATTCGATTTTCAAGGTCAAATTTCATCTTTTGGGCATTGTGTAAGAAAGCGCTACACCATTTGAGGAAGAAGGGACAAGACCTGAGGGTCTCTTGGGCAGCGTTCCATCAACAGACTGACTGTTCCCGTTATTATTTCCCATAACGTCCGGTCACTTCTGGGAAAAATTGATGAGGTCAAGAGTATGGTACATGAAAAAGTGTGCAAAGACGTTGAAATTATTGTGCTTCAGGGAAGTTGGTTACATCCTGAAATTGAGGACGGTGTTATCCTGTTTGATGGATTTTATT